TCCCCCTACAGTCCGCCTAAGCATTAAATAAGCACGTCGTATAATGAAAGCTGTGCACAAGTTTCCAGCCTCTGCAGATGAGTGGACGAAATCACTTCTCGGAACGTCAGACTTAAGTTAAACCTCTCCAAATGAACGCATCTTCTTTTGTCCTCTATGCTTTTTTGCTATACTCGTATCAGTATTTTATAATGACAATTGTTGTTTCCAGCTGAACGAACTTGAAATTCTCCCTCGTCCTCTGAACTGCGTGCCAGAGTTCCCTTCCTCTAAGAATTCTGCTCCTGTAGACCTTTTTGTTTCCAGTAGAATGCACCCTGTCGTTAAAACTACCGCTCCCCGGCCAAGTGGCACTTAAACACTGCCCTCACCATCCGTTCGGCTCCCTTGCCTTTTAATTGCCTTTTCCCACAAGGTTTCTGCCCCTCCCCCTCTGTATCAAGCGACAAATGTTTCAAGAGCTACTTGATCTTGCGTCCCCCCTTCTGTTTCGATACCAACTATCTCCACCGCTGACTTCAAACGCTTGCAATCCCCCCCCTTGCCAGCGCCGTATTGCCTCTGTTCACGTCTGCCTCCCGCTTGCGCGCTAGTGTTTTCAGACCAATAGGAGTCCACAGGAACTGCCTCCCGAAATCACATAAAGGTGACAGTCCCCGCCTCCTCCAAGATTGGTTTTGCCTCGAGTGGCATTATTGTCGAACATGTGTTGTTCCTTTGTGTAGTCAAGCAATTTGGCCGACTCACTTCCTTCTTGACTGCATCTATCCATTTTTGAGGTTTGTACATTGATTATTCTCTAATATTTTGCTTAATATTACCGTATTGCCTTGATGGTTGCTATCATTGGGTTTGAAGTACGCGTGACTGCTGGATAGAGAGTCAGAGGAGTCAAGAAGACGAAACAACAGTCATAAAACAAAGCGTCCAGCTGGAACTAACATGTAGTTGAGTTTCAAAAAAAAGCTAAAAAGTTTTTTTCCCTTGATACCGAATAAGAACAGTCCAAATACGAAAGGTCTGCCAAGCAAGTAAAACAAATAATAGTAAAATAAATCCGGCCTTCCATCTCCAGGTCAGGAATAAAAACAAAATTTCGTTTTAACGTAGTGTACTTACAACTAACATAGGGGCTGATGCGCAATCCCCCAGTTCGGACATTATGGGCAGGCTTAGTGAAATGAAGCTTCTCCTAAAACAATGGGTAAACATTGCGTTAAGTCTATTATGTACCGTCGTCTTCACATGCCAACACCCGGGTCCGGGTTCGGAAGACTGGATGTGGTTTTAACCCTGAAATCAAATTACACCTAGTCCAAGTGTAGAGATGTTGCACTATTCACTAATCTGACAGCACAGATAGTTACCAAAATTCTAGGCATAATTTTCATTTCAATTATGAGCATTTTCTGCCTGCATTCATACAATTAGTGTATTTCACAAGTGACGCCAACAACTATTGTGTGCCGCACCCAACCTCTGGCACCAGCATGCATGAGACGATGGAACACCGAAATGACTAGTTACACCCCCTCCTACCCCGAAAACCATATAAACACTGCAGCTAACCGACCGTTGTATGCTCCATGTCATTGTCCCGGCCTAAAAATGAATGACCGAAAACAATTGTTTGCCAATACGGCTTTTTAATCACAATTAACGAGTTATGCCCAAAACCCGGGTGATGGAAGGTGATCAGTTGAGTGTAGATCAAAGTATGCACCACTATGCTACTGGTTCATCTCATGGTGACCTGGATTGGCACCGGCCTAGTCAGGCTTCAGAACAGAGCAACAGCAATACTGAGTTGCCCCGGGGTTTGTCTGTGAAACGCACAGATGGAGTCTCCTCTATTCTATCCGGAAGTCAGCACTCATCGGTGCACGCATCTCCTCCAATTTGACTCAATATTTACGATCTCGGTCGACATAACATGGACCCGATTTGCAGTGGTGAGAGACTCGCTCGACGTGCAGTCAACTTGGATTCAAACCTACAGTCGATTGTCTATGTCAGGAAATCCACAGATTTTTTAAGAAAATCCCCTCTCCGAAAAGCAGCCCAGGCTGCGTCTTCCAAAGTAAAGGGAACATCCTTATTACCAAGAAGACATATTTTAGTTTAGCAAGTAATGTTACGTTGTTTAGGAATAGCATGCTTTTTTTCAGAGAAGCGGAAAATTCCGAAAAACGGAACACTCGAGGTTACTAAATAAACTTAACTTTTAAATGTAGAGCAAGTCTGTTCATGCAAACAACCAAGTAAATAAAGCAGCGAAAGTAGAATAACATTTGTAAATAATCCTTTTTTGAGCAGTTCGCATATATGTACCTCCATATTATACTGAATGTAAAGTACGCCTGTTACCAAACAGTCCGAAGTTCGAGTATGCATTTCAACAGGGTTTCGCGACAATTTTCCATTGTCTCATCGCTTTATACGTTGTTTCTTTGGCTGCCCATCATCTGGGGTGACGGTATCACCGAGAGCGCGCAAACCAGGGGTGAGTATTGCAGTATGTCTGTGTCTCTTCTCTTCCTGACTTCTAGCTCCATGCTCTCCCTTGCGGGTTGTATATCCGCGCCTTCAGGGCCAGACGAAATTACCCACTTTGCATAATTCATTAAACTGACGGCAAAAATACTAACTACAAGTCCAGACCCGCGTTTGGCCCCCCTTTTTGTCACTGCATGACACAAGTGCGAGGGGCTCGGCTCACCAATGTGTTCCATTGACTTTCTCGTTTATTTTTCAACAGGTACCAAATTTTTGAAATTTTTATTTTGAATCTTCAGAAATTAATACGTTAACCTCTAGCAAATATTTCAAGTCAAACCTGTTAACGATCGGTCAGAAAGTCGATATGTTATTCCATGTGGTCCACTGACGACCCATCAGGGTAATAAATGAAAGTAGACGCCATATCCGGAATGACTTCAATCTAGCGCCGGCTTGAAGCTCTCGCAATGACCAAAAAGCCGCAGCCTCTGGGCACTAAACTGCCTTTCGAGTTAATAGTTGCTCCTTATTCGTTTTATATGCATTTGTAAACCTTTGCGCCCTTCTCCAAAATAAATAGTTACTTATTGTAGTTTTTGCCGGGAAAACTATGTCTTTTTTGGTGTTTGCGTGTCTGTGCTAGCACTATGACTGATTAGGCCTATGCGGTTTTCGACTAGTGTTTGGTCCTACGCTCCAGCCTTTTCTGACCTGTTATTATGTTAAGGTTGACATGAATGAATGATTGCTATTATTCTGTTAATTTAACCGTGATTTATAAAGCAAACCACCACCACCACCAAAATTTTTAATTCGTGGGCCTGATTGGGGAAGCAAATTTGTTTCTTACCTCAGTGGCTGGTTTAGTCTTAAGCAGAATGAAGTTGCTAGTCGATTCTCATAATGCTCCCTCCCCTCGGAGCCAGTACAGTCCTGGTAGCTTTAGCGTTCGTTTGGTAGGTAGGAATATTTACAGGCACTCGTATAATTTAGAATCAGAAAGCGCATTCCGTTAAGTTAAATTTGTAGGAATTACGGTTTCCCAACTGCAACCAAAGGCAGCTGAGATGGGTTTGACAGGCTTGAAGATCGCCCTTGAGATTTCAGAAACGCCCTCAGTGAATGAGCGCGTTTTAGACAAATCTTGTTTATTTTTAAAGATAAGAAACTACTTCAAAAAACATTCATTTATAACTATTCACATGTCCTCGTTGGCTGACGATTAGGCGACTGTGTTGTTTACTTTGATTGAGTGGTGTTCTAGCTCCTTTTAGCAGGTTTTAGTGCGTAGGGTCAGCTAGTAAGTTTCATACCATATAGGTAACAAAAAAGTAACACAAACGTCCCCTAATCACGAGCCTCTATCGAGATAAGGAAGCTAAAATCTCTCAATATTCCATGTAATACGTTTGACTTCAAGCTAACTGTTGCCGGCCTGATCTAAGACAAGACTACTTTGTTAAGAATATGCGCAGGTAAATAAGCATGCCTATTCGTAGAGCCTCCACCATTTTCAGTCACAAACTTAACGAGTTGTCGCGAATAATGCACTCGCATAGCTTACTGTTAAGTATAAATTAGCTGGCTTCTCAGTTCTCAATGAGAAAATTATTTGGAACCCTTGATTGAGCAGTTTACAATCCAGTTAGGCAGGAGCTTTTTAGATACCTTCTCCGGGAGGACAAAAGAACAGGCAATACCCATAATAAAACTAGTTTTGCTCTAAATTCCAGGTAAGTTAGGGTTAAGATTAAGCAACGGTTAGATTAGGGTAAAAGTTAAGATAAGGGTTACAAATGAATGGTGGTCCGCAACTGGATCAGATTCTATAGACGAGTTCAGATGTTTCTTGTCGTGGCAGTGGGTTTTTGTTGGCTTCATTACTTATCGTCTAATAGTCGTCTTCAGCCTGGGTGCGAATCCAACTCCAAGTGCTACGACAAAGCGGCCCGCGTCTACCGAGACGTTGTTGACGTACGTAATCGCTTACCAAAATTTGGGGTCGGTACGATTTTTTGCTCCTTCTGGACATAGGAATAACTACTCGTCCGGGAATTTAGCAAGAATCCACCTGTGGGGACGGGCGTTCCTAATATCGCGTCATCTCTAGGAGTGGGATCATACGAGCCATTCCGACGCCCAATTGCATACTTTCACTTTTTTTCTGGCCTAAGACAAAATGCAATGCGTGACTTGTGTATTTATTACCGAAAGCCCCGAAAAGCCATTAACGAGGACAGACAGAGGCAGTGGGTGGATCTTGCGTATACCTCCTTTCTGCTCTTGTAGTCATAT